AAATATATTTCATATCTGCTTATTGTTCTACAGTTCTTAAGAAATAACAGTAACGGGATTTTTCAGAAGTTATGTGCTTAATAATAAAATTACTTTCCTTCATATTTCCTTCATATACTTTTATGTTTTGTAAGATGTGTACGTTTATTTTTGTGCATATTTCCGTTGTTTTCTTTATTGAAAGCAAATTCCACTCAGTGGCTTTCAAGAAATAATAAATTGTTCTTATTTTGATAAGGATTTTGATATACATTTACGATAACATATAAACTTGTTTTCATTTAGCCTGAATTCTGCTCAAAAAACAAGTAACTAGAATTTATATTTTAGTCACTGTAAATACCAGATGCAAACAAATGTAACAGATGTAAACAGTACCAGAAGATTTAAACACATAAACATGTGTAAAATGTAAAAACTAGGTATATGAAATTGATAAAAAAATTGTATAGAATGCAATATATTTTTACTGACTTAACTAAAATTAAATTTCAATTACTAGTGACCACTTTTTTAGGTACTGATGAAATAAAACAATTTTATCTGCTCCCACTATAGTAAATAGACTATTAATACATTGTTTTTAAGGAGGTAAGGGGATTTTACCGTAGAAGTGGAAGTTGCTATGGACAAAGGGGGGTAAGTGAAGTAACTTATCTTAAGAAAAGCGATTTAGAGATATAAATGCATATTTTATGAACAAATAAATAGAAATATTTGATGAACATTACATTTTATTAATTATTATGAATGAATATTTACAGTAATTGTACAGTTATTACATTTAGTAACATTTATAAAATATGGATAATTATTCCCCTTGCGTTTATTAATTGTCAAATTTTTCTCAAAATAATTTGACCGCTCCATTTCAGTCACCGAATGCTCAGTATTATCTGACTAATCCATTAAAACAGCATGTTGCAACGTACTACTAGAACCTGGAGTTGAAGTGTCTTTTAAAGAATCCTATTGGCTATTTCTTTTTTGGTACTTAAACTGTCAGCAACATAACTTTCTGCAGTTGTGACTGATTTCCACCCACCATGTCTCTTGATTGCTAATACATCAACTCCTATATTAGCCAGTAATGTTGCCGATGTTCTTCGGAATTAATGGCTTGTATATGTTTCAGGATGTTCTAGTTTCAAAAACTGTGCAATCTTATTAGGAATTATAGAAAGGGTATTCTTGCCGACTGATTAGTTGTAACATCTATCTGCTGATTTAGAAATAATAATTCAAAACCAGCAAATGCAACTTTTATGTAGCTTTGTTTATAAAGGCCTTAGAAACGACAAATTCCAAACAACCAAGGCGACTTTACAAGATTTCGAATAATGTCATAATATTTATTTTATGAACCATAAAGAACTGTGGCAGATAAAATGTTATACACCACGCAGCAGTTAAGTATAATTTACCACTCTCCGACTCTATTGCCAGCCCTGGCTCCGCTCGGGCGCAAAATCGTCCTCGACTGGTAAATAATACTTACCTCCTTTATAGTGTAAATAACTAATAATTTAGATAATATTTGCTATTGTAATTGTAGGATAAGCAGTAGACGAGGTAGCGTGAACAGTAATCACAAAACAAGTAGTAGTAGAGCGTCAGTTTTGTTGTCTCCAAAAAATGTTGTCCCCATCATGATTTTCTATTGAATAGAATCTTCAACATATCTTTGAGCTGCTTTGTCGCTTTTCTAACCTCCAAAATGCTGAAAGCGCTGATGTTTGCGTCACAATCTGCTAAGAAAGTAGCTGCTGATCTTCAAAATAAATTGCCACTATATGTTTCTGGATTTTCTAGTCTCAGGAATCTGGCAATATTTGTAGCAGGTATTTTTCCGAAAGTTTTAATACCTGCAGGTTGAAAGGAACATTTTCCTTGTCAGTAGTTGAGAAACAGTCAGCTGGTTGTTGTTTCCTGAGGCAGCAAGCTTAGGAATTTTTGATACAGAAATCAGAACATTTTTAAGTTTGTTTTTCGTTAAAAAACTGCAATTCTTTGACAAAACGTCACATGAGAATGACACGCCTTTATAAGCACATGGAAATTTGCCACACTCGCGCAAGCGCTCTGGTGTCAAATATCTCACTGACTCATAACTGCCTATTTCACTGATTTGTCTCTATTCACTCACTATTATGGACATGCGCTACAAAATGCAAAAAACGTCTTCGTAAAACTTAAAAGCCCTCATCTTATTTGTTTGTGTATTTATTTCACCAACAGGTAGTAAATGTTGTGCCACTAACATTTACCGAAACGTTAGTTATATTTAGACAACTAATTATAAGTTGTACGCCTATTTATAGCGCAATTAAACATGTGCTGGGGTAAAAAATATGCAATCTTTTGACACCTAACATACTTTCAATCCCAGCGTTCCTACTGCAACACTGTTATCCGAGCTCTGTTAGTTGAAACGCACTGAAAAGTATGTCGTTGTTTAAGCAAAATTAATTTCACACTATATTAAAGCAATGAAATAAAACTTATACTTTCAGTTGGTTTTATAATGAAGTTACCAATTCAGCGCGTACAGGCTCGGTGTCATTATTTAAACGGTGATTCAGAAAATTGTAGCAGGAAATGTATTAATTGACATAAACTAATCTGAATCAGCTAGTTTTATGTTATGTTTTAATAAACTGGGGCTTTTTATTTTATTATTGGTACAACCTGAATATCTTTAAGTTTTTAACAATGTGTATTAAAAACACAGCACCACAAAAACAGTTATCTGTGCTGCAAAACAAGCCTGAAAATAGAGGTTAGATTCAGATCCAATGGATGAAATTTCAGATTAAGAGAAAATATGTTTATGGTCCGGATAACTTTTTTGTGGGCCTGTGCAATTGTTGGATATCGGAATTTTTGTGACCACATTTAAATAAATAAACGGTAGTAATCTATATTATGTTAGTAAGCGACAGTACGCATTATAGTAGCAGAAATAGACACCAGGCCAACAGGGCAGGCATTAGGGTGCAGCTAGATGCGTATCGAATAAATTGATCGATGCGAAACTTCAAATCAGAGGCAGACATACACATACAAGACTCCGATAGTAAATGTGAAGTAACTGATGCTGTGCCACCATCATTTGTTGTTTCATACTATTATGCAAATACTTATAATGTACAAACTGTAAAACCTGAAGGTTTCTAACTCTTACGGTTTAGACACTATCTAACCTCACTAAGAGAGCTGAAATCGTGATTTTTTTAAAAAACAACTGTTTATCTCGAAAACGGTAAGTTTTAAACACCATGTGAAAAATATTTTCTTTACTGGCCCACTTGATTCCAGACAACTTTTATTAAAACCATTTTTTTTTATAAATTTTACAGTTACACAGTTTTACAGCCTTTCTATTTTGCCTATTTGTTGAAATCAATAGTTCTTTGTACGTATTATACTAAAAGCAGAACAATGTTGTCTTAAAAACACTTAGCTTTTATTACGTCTGTGACATAAGACCATTGAATCGTATAAATCATCCATCAACGTTGTGTCAGCTTGGATATAGGCGTCATTTTATAAATATTACTTCCAAAAGTAAATAAAAATTCAAGTATTTATTTAAGTAAACAACTTCTGGGTAAACCCTTTTTCAGAACAATGTATTTATCATATGGAATATTCTTAATTTAATTGAATATTCTTCTAATTGTAAACATTAAGAAACAAACACCTTCGATATATAAAACGTAACTTACTAAAAAATGTACTGCTGCAAATTCGCTTCAAAATTAATATTCCATTTCTACTGCTACTAGATTTTGACAGATTTTATTGCTTCTGTTTCAATGACATTTAATTTAAAACCGTTTGTTTTATGGATAGGTTCTACTAAACGTGAAAATATATACCTTATTGTTCAATTTAATATTATAATTCAAATAAATTCAAAATATATTTCCCTAAAAACCATATCAAATGAAGTAAAATATAGGTATGTGTTTTTATGTTAATAATATTTGGACGTATCGTTTTTGATAATTATTTTGTATTAAATTATTAATCAGAAGATGTTATTAATCACTGGATATTGTAGGTGTAATTCCATGGTAGGTGACAAAGTTAGGAACTAAAAACTAAATTACAAATTGATAAATATAATCTAATTGTTTAAAAATAAAAACAAATAGTGGTAACTTTAAATATTTACTGTGGTCGTCCTAATCAACCGATTTCAATTTTTCAAAAACCATTTGAAAGGTTGAGCGGTCTTTTCTATGTGAAAAAATTTTCAAGTATTTAGATGCTTCATTTGAGGCTGTGCAACATTTTGAAAATTCGAAAATTAGTTTCCAAAATTTTTTTCAAAAAATTATTTTGCGAAAACTATAGAACTGATTTTAATAAAATTTGGTGTGTTGTTTTGTTATACTCTAAAGTTTTTTTTACCAAAATTAGAATGTCCTCGGAACAATTAAAATATTTTTTTAAAATTATCCAAGAATCTTGATTTTTTTTTACTTTTTTTCATCAATTATTGCTATTTTGGAACATCGGTAATAAATTTAAACATTTTTAACATTTTTACAGCATATTGTGTAAAATTCAATTCTAAAACTTTTTTTCCTGTTCAATATTCTTCCAAAATGCATAGGTTCCAAGATATAAGTAAAAAACGCAGATAAAATAGGTATTTTTTAAAAATTTTTAAACATTTTTGCAATTTTGATAATGTTCCGGGCCTTGCCCAGATCTACACTTTTATTATGTGAGCTGTACTGAAGGCAATCCAGAAAAAAATGTGCTTGCCCCCTCTCACATCCACCTCAAAACAGATCCGCCCTGGTCTATTATGGCTGTTGGGAAAATGAATAAATAAATAGACGTAAAATATACTTCTCACGGAAGAAGAAATGATTATCTGTTATTTGAAGCAAGTCATTAGCTTTATGTTATCAATTACTTTATCATAATTTTAATAATCTTTTCCCTCTACTTCTCTTAACGATTGACATCACATAAACACGTACAATTCTTTTGAAACTCCTTGGTGTCCAGCGCGGCTACGGGACCCAGGTAGACCAACACCAGCACCAACTCCGTCACGCCGATACTCAAACCTGTAAGAGATTTTCCCCAGCGCATTTCGCACTGCACTTCACTTCACCAACAGCGACGGCCCATCTTCAGAAACCGCGAATATTCTGTCAGTTCCCGGCCCTTGGGCCAGCGATTAGACCGCTTCAATTCCGACGCCGACAGAGGAAACGCACATTCTCGACACATGTGAGTGTGTATTATTCGGATCGCGACGCTGCGCATCTAAACCAAGTTCTACCCCGCACATGACTTAAGTGAAACGAAATTAACTCCTACTCTTAATTTTTTGCGTGAGTATCTTATTTATAGATTCCCTAATGTTCTTCGTGCTCATCATCCCGTTATACGGAAGGTAGAGGCTAGTGGGGCAAATTGACTTTATGGTGTTGTTAGCGTTAGTTTAAATTTATTTTATTAGGACGTGAAATGGTATTGGGTAATTGAAGTTTCGTCGCGTTTGTTACCAAATGCCGTCCTGTGGCATAAATGAACGAGGATATGGTAATGATTAAAAGATGTTTCGAAAGGAAGGTGAATATAGGAACCCTTATGTTAATCTGGAACATCTCCTAAGAGCCAGGAAAGGTTAAGTAGTTAAAAATTGGTTGTAGCGTATAAAGCTTATTGAAATTTTACAGTCGGAAGTAATATGAATAGTAACAAAACAAAAGTTTATTTACACGATTTTTTTCCAAGACCCAGGAAGTACCTATAATGAAAATCTAATCCGTTATGGATTCTGTCGATAAACTTTAGGAAGACGTTCCTTATAAACCCTAAAAAAATATAGTACCTATTAAAATTGGTCTTAGTCTCGAGTATATGTGAGTCAAATAAGCCTCTTTGTCTCCCCATCCCTTGGGTTTAACCAATAGTATTAAAATTATTTAGGAGATGCTTCGTTTATGAGATATAGGGTGTTTTTTTAGGAAAAAAAATACGTTGAAGACAATAGAAATATTTAAGTACCTAACATCTAATGTGACTATGTCGTAATGCGACAACGTAACGACCCTTGCAATACTCCTAAATTTTTTCAGGCGGTTTGTAGTCACTTCATTTACTTGTGTTGTGTACTTTTAAATAAAATAAGATGGCAAACAATACATGAAAATTTATTTGTAAATTGAAACAACCAAAAAATTACCAATTAATATTATACCTAGACAAAGCGAAAAGTGAATCAAAAATGAAATGATTTAAAAAATATTTTGTTCAAAATGGGCGCCTCCGGACTGTAGACAAGCACGACATCTTCTAATTATGGAGGTAGTGGCCGATCGACACTGAATTGGAGTTAATTCTCGACACGCTTGGACTATTCGCTGTCTTAGATCTTCTAGGGTATCAACTGGCACCTCGTAGACTTTTTGTTTAACAGCACCCCAAACGAAATAATCCATCGGTGTCAAGTCCGGTGAACGTGCGGGCCACGCTGCAGGTCCTCCACGACCAATCCATCTCCTGGGATAATTAATGTTTAACCACTCCCTAGGACCTCTACCAAAATGGGCAGGACAACCATCTAGTTGAAACCAACTGTTCATTCGAGTATTAAGCGGAACATCTTCTAACAGATCTTGAAAACCATTTTCAAGGAACTCGGTAAACATGTCAGCATTTAACCGATGCGGAAGGAAGTAGGGACCAACTATAGTGTTGTCCAACACACCCAACCATACGTTACATTGGAATTCATGCTGAAAACTATGTTCCCTTACCGCCCGTGGATTCTCGTAGGACCAAATATGGTTGTTCCTTTGGTTTAAAATTCCCCTTCGAGTAAATGTTGCCTCATCTGTCCACATTACTTTTTGCGTAAACTGATCATCATTCTCTGCTTGGTTTAACATCCAGTCACAAAACACGCGCCTGCATCGTATGTCCTGAGGCAATAAATGTTGCACACGCTGGATATGGTACGCATGGCGTCCATCAGCCCGAAGAGTCCTCCAAATGGAACTTGACGAAATACCTAGCTCATAGCTAGATCTTCTGACACTCGTGGATGGATTTTCATCGAAATGGTTTAAAATAGTATTCGATCTTACTTCGTCCTGAAGTGGGGCAAAATGTCCATCAGCATAAGTTGGAATACCGAAAGACCCAGTTTGTCTGAGACGACTGAATGTCGTTGAAAATGTTTCCTTTGCTGGTAGTCTGCGATGAGGAAATCTTACTGCATATTCACGGCGAGCCGCCGTGGCATTTCCATCACAAAACTCATATACAAAAACCATATGGCATTTTGGCATAAAATTATAAGAATTAGGAAAAAAGTGAAGGTACACTTTTTGTCAACAACAATCTCTTCTATCTAAAAACAGCATCATTTTTTATTTTCAGTAGGGCCGTACTATTTTTTTCCCATAACTCCGCCACTGGTTGCTTGCGGGACTTCTACTTCTATGGAAAATGGTATCCTATAAAATCTGTCATGCCAGATTTGGCTTAAATAGCCTTCTTCATTTAGAAGTTATTTAAAAAATTCGATTCTTTTTTTTAAATTTTTAACGCCCTATATTTCGGAAATGAAGCGTCTCTGGAAAAAAATTTATACTTGATTTTTTTCTTTTTTTTTATGAGCAATATCTCCTTAAAGTTTGTCGACTTAATCCTGCAACACCCTGTAGAAAATATATTGCATGTCGCCCAGAAAATTTTGAAAATTGCAGTTATTTCTTAAAATATTCAAAATGGAAAGGTTGCAGGTAAGGAATAGGAATAAATCAATAAAATGCCTGTGTCGCAAAATTTTTAAAGCCCAATGTAAATAAATTCAGAGGACATTTTTTCCGTCGATTCTCTGACTGCAATAATGTTGCCGACTTTTCGAGTAAAGTTCAGCCAATGTTTAGTAGTTGTACAAACTGCAACTTAATATAAATGTAAACAAATGATTATAATAAACGTTTAATATGTGGAATACCTTCAATAAATGTTATATCTACTAAATAATGCATTTTTGATGTGAATTGCCTGAAAAAGTACACGTCCAAACGATTTCGAAAAAAATTAATTTTAGCAAGTCAGATACCAGAATGAAATTGAATGTGTTCCACAATTTTTTTATTCAATTATTATATAAACACATTTAAGTCTTATCATATACATATGTATCTGTCAATATCGGATACAACTTATAAATGCGAGAAAATCCTTTATTGGTGTTTCTCTTAGATAATATTTCTTTTTTTAGTTTCATGTGGGTTTAGAATGCAGAGAATGTAAACGTTTTCTAATAAAACATATTTAAATTGGTGCAAATAATACGTCAAAAATAAATTCAGATACATACGAGAAACATCTGGTCGTAAAAAACATATTACTCTCCCTAGAATATCGAATAGAATGATACACGGTTCTTTTTTTATCTAGAAATTTGTGACGTACAAATCAAAATCAAAACAATATATATTGACAGGCCGTAACTAAAATAAGTGAACGGCAAGTGCATGAGGCTATTGAGGATACACGGAAACCGTTTTAGTGGCAATGAATCGGTTGACAGCACAGAAATACACATACCTATACAAAATAGGCACAAATATGGCATATTTAAGTAGAGTAACTTGTTAATATTCCCACGAAAAACAATAAGTAATTTTAAAAAAGAAAACAGTTTGGCAACAAAGGGTTCTTATACCAGGAAGTTTCTTAATGTCAATTAGTTATCGGAATATAAAAATAACATGTAGTAGGATGGGTAATTGCCAATTAAATATTGACAGGACTGTTGAAAATGTATATAATTCAATTTGTTATTTGTTCTAGAGTATAATTCAATTAGACACAGCATACAAAAAGATTGTAGTATTGATAGCAAGTTCGATCGTCAGATTATTTTGCAGTTAAGGAATACCACAGGTCAAAGACCTACTAACTTGTTGATAAGTGATGGAAAATAAATTAATAATGTAAACCAGCAAATGCACAAAAACATAGTTGAATGGAAACTAATGAATAAAATATTAGGTACAAGTTAGAAATGATGGAAACATTAACAACAGGTACTATTGCAATTGTCTTTAACAACATATTTGAGAGAATTTAATGATGATAATATATCAACACATCATCATTTAATGAATCATTTTTACAAGGGGACATCATTCTATAAATAGACCTAAATTGGTTCTACAAAAATTCAAGTTTAGGACAATCAATTAAGTTGTTAAAACATTTGAACAGAAACATAAGGTCTGAATTACAGTTTGCAAAACTAATAGAACAGCATTTTATTATGTTCAACGTTAATTTATTATTAGTGCAACAACAAATAATTTGTATCAGTTTGAATTAGTTCACAATTATCAGTAGATTTGATAATTCGAAATTACCAATATCGTTGAAAAAATAAGATGAATTACTTACGGGTATTATGAAAGCATAAAATTATTTTTTGTAGGTTGGTGGTACTGTCTTTGATATTTATGCAGATTTTCAAGTCGATATATTCAATTGCTGCAGAGCTACTAGTCGCTAGAGAGTTATCTTGGTGTGGAGTCGCTCGTAGGTATATGAATAAGTATCTGGTCGCTGGCGCCAATCTGCCGTGGACCTTTCCTGGAACCCTGGTGCGTCCCGCTTTGTCCTTGCAACTATTAGACCGGTCCGGGCGGCGTCAGGCTGGCGTTATTGATGTAATACTTAAAAATTGATCACTTGCAGACATGTGTACCCACAAACATTTAAAAGATTTGTTGTGCCTTAGACGCGTCAAATCTCGTTTGGTTCCAAAAACGTCCAACTTTTTGGAAAAACGGTGTCGCATTGATATCTGTGAACTTACACTTACGACCCGGAAATAGCCGATCAATTGAGTGAATATCGTGCAATAGATGAACCAAGACAAAACCACGCCAAAGTCACTCAAAAATCAAGGTAATGTTGACAGTTTTCTTTGATTATCGTGGCGTACTGCACTATGAATATCTTCCAACCGGCCAAACTCTTAACAAGGAATATTGTTTGAGTGTTATGCGTCGTTTGCGTGATGCTATTCGTCGCAAAAGGCATGAATTATGGACAGATAACTCTTGGTTTTTGT